CGGAGCCCTTCTCCATCCCCTCTCAGCTCTGACCGTCGCTCTCCCGCTGCTTTCCTAGCAGCGATGTGGTCGGATGATGAAGAGGAGACCGTCACTCCCGCATCATCACCGGTTTCCCCCGTCACCTCCGTTCCCTCATCAAGGAGGAGACGCCGTCCACGCCGTCGCCGGTCCTCTCCTCAGCCGGATTCCGGGATTACTGAGCAACCGGCTGGGGTGAGTGACAAAGACACTTTTTCTGTTCACTCTGAGGCTAGCTCTCACTAACCTGAATGCAGGAATGCAAACTCTGTGACTCTTGCCGTAGGCTCTAAAGGCTCACGATCTGTAAATGTTGAATCCGAACCCGAACTTCTTATGGACCTTTGTACTGCCCGGAGGGTCAACTCAGAGACCGTTTCTCCTACGTTTGGACTCATACTCGAGAAGGATTATCCTTCGCTAGTGATTCCTCGGTTTAAAAACTCGAAGTCAGCATTTCCTGAGTTAGAGACACCTGTTTCAGTTCCCTTTACCTGTGTGTCTGCTGAGGATGATTGTTTTGTAGTTAAGCTCACCACTGGGGCTTTACAACCTGCCTCCTTAGATGGTAAAGCAGTAAAATCCAAGACTGTAAATGTTCCTGTGATAGCTCGACCCCAGCTCGTTACTTCTGAGCCATCACCCCCGGGGATTGTCCATTCTGACGTATGTACTGATTCAAATGTTCTTGAGTCAGGGGGCTCTACACCCACCACTGTTTTCCCTAGGTTTACTGCTTCCAGCGATCCGGAGGTAAAAGACTTTGTTCCATCTGCCTCTCCGGTGCACAGACCTGTGTTTACATCAGCTATTAACCCATCCTCTGTCAGTAAAAGTACGGTTAGCTCCGAAGAAAGAAGCTCTAAGACTGTTGGTGCATCAGCTGATCACATTTCTCTAGAGTCTGTAAACACTGAAGGCAGTGCATTAGTGCCTGTAAGCTACAGCTTTAAAACACTTAATGCTATGAAGTCAGAGCGCTGTTCCTCATCCGATCACTCAGGGCAGGGAATTGATCTCTTGCAGACTGTTCTTTCTAGGCCCGCCTCCCAGGCCCCTTGTGTTTTAGGGATAGCTGCGGCCCAGCACTCCCCTGCACCTATCTCAGTTCCCCAGGTGAGGGGGGCTGGCGCCCAGCTGGTCCCTGTTCCGGTTTCCGGGTCGACTGAAGCTCTGCTGGTCCCTGCACCCATATCAGCTCCTCGGGTGGGGACAGCAGCCGCTCAGTCCCTGCCGAAATCTGTGCCAACCGCTGAGGTGAGGCCCGCCAGGACCCAGCCGGTCTCTGCACCTGTACCTACTCCTCAGGTGGGAGCGACTGGTGTCCAGCAGGTGCCTGCACCTTTCATCCACGTTGTAGGCCCAGAGGAACCGACACCGCCACCTGTCCTACATCCGCTCCCACACCCATCATTGCACTTAGCTGCACAGGATGCCCCTCAGTCAGTCAGTCAGCCTTCTCCTCAGTGCACAGTCCAGCCTTCTCTCCAACCGCCATTACTACCACTAGTTCAGTTTGCTACCCAGTCTCCCTCAGTTCAATCGCTAGCCATGTCTCTTGTGTCCCCGCTAGCCACGTCTCCTGTGTCCGCTGGAGGGTCCGAGGGGCCCGTTCAGCCTCCTGTCTCCGCTGGAGGGTCCGTGGGGCCCGTTCAGCCTCCTGTCTCCGCTGGAGCGTCCGTGGGGCCTGTTCAGCAACCTTCCTCGTTTACTGGGGGGCCCGAGGAGCCCGTCCAGCCACCAGCTGCTCCACCAGCAGCCTCATCCGCGTTTGCAGCAGCAGTGTCATCCATGCCG